AATTACCAATGTATAAATACAGTACTGTAGTGGTACAATATATTAACCATGACATAATATGAACACATAAAACTAAAGGTAAACGCTGCACGCAATGTCGTATAGGAAATATGGACATTTTTATTTAAGAAGTTTACCAGAATTACTCCATTTACTGGTAATATAGTAAAGACTTTTACTGGACTGGAAGACTGGAAGAAATCTTATCTCTTATTCTATTTATCTTGGTCACTTATCCCCGAGAGTTACTGAAAATATGATGTGAACAAAGCACAAACAAGTACATCAAAGCTGCCTTGTCACACATCAGTGGTGTTATTTCATAAAATATGACCACACACATCTTTGTTCTAATCATTCTGGTCCCTGTAGCGAGGTTCTAACCATAATTGAATGATGTATGCTTTATTGAACTAGACAATGTAAAAATGTAGAAAGCACTAATCGGCGCAATAAAGGGGGTTTGGTAAGATTTATTTTTAGGCTAGGGGGGATTGTACACCATCTACACTCTATATCCTCAATGAACAAAGGAGTGTACATGCATTTGAACAGCCATCCTTTTACAGTTCTCTATTATAATCACACTACAACCATATCTGGCCCCATAATATCTCATTTGCAAGTGCTTATGTCCACCCAGATCACTGTGATGAAGGTCTAGAGAGCTGAAAGGTGAGTTTCCAACCCCAGAAACAGCCGCTGGAGGCAATGGACTCTGCATGTGAAAGTACAAGGTCAAAACAAGAAGCAGGTCCAAGGTCTTAGTGTCATTTTCAGCCGCGCAACAGCGCCATCGCTCTCTCGCGCGGTGCATCAATAATCTAAGCTGATTCATTACATCATCCTCTGACATGTGCCTGTCTGTCTGTCCAGATGGACCCACTAACTGTCCCATGACATTCTGTGGCAAACACACACACACACGAGCGCGCACTTCACCAGGCAATATTCAGACACATTTTAGGTGCCTTCAATACAAATGCATTTGCATGTAATGAGCTCATTTGTCACTTGTATTAATGCACCCCGAGAAATGATAACAATAATGTTTAATGCCACTTGTCAGTCTCAGCATTCTCATCATTTATTACCGGAGTGCTGGACATTGATTCAGCTCCACACTAATGAGGCCGTTGATATTCAGGACCAGTTAACGTTTCCTTTTCTCCAGAACACCTAATGGTGGCCGGATGAGTGAAAGCATGGATCTTGTTAATGTGTCACATGATCACATGATCCAATCTCTCTCTTATGAAAACGCAAGGCTTTCCACAGCATGTCAGGATGGATGGAGGTTGATCGAGTGTCGGACGCCCCCCCCCAGTGCCTGTGAGTTTGCAGACGTTACTCCATCCATTCTACAGCTGTGGGATGACGAGGTCGCGTGGGGTCATGGCGGATGGATAGGTGGCTGTATGACTGGGTTTTAGGATTTGGTTTGTCCGCCCCTCCCCCTCCCCCAAACGCCCCATCTGCCTGCCGACCAATGGGCTGCCGCCTCTGTGGATCAGAGTCTCTTGCCAATAGGTCGCTAATCCTCGTCCGTGCACGCTCAGTGGCTTAACTGGGACACGACAAAGGGGGGCAGCGACTATGACGTGCCGTCCTACCCATAAGTCCCGCTGTCATCTGCACAAGGATGCGTTTGCTCCGGCAGCAAAGACTGCAGTCAAAACCGTATTATTGACCTGACTGTAAAATCCCACAGTACACACCTAAACTCGGATTTGCATTTCCAAATTCCTGGGAAAAGTAATAATACTGAAAATACGATTTATATAACCAACTTTTATGCGGGGGAAAGTTTAGAAATCGAACTCGCCGGCCGCTTTAAAACTTTCATAGTTCACATAAAGTCAAACGTTTTCTCGACACATATTGCTGTTATTAATATTTTAAAATAACATGAGCTCCGAATGCATGTTTTAAATGCAGTTTAGAGCCGGAAAAGATTACAACATTACGGATGATATTATTCAAGATGACTGATGTTGTATGATTATAGTTCTTAACGTTCCAGGACCTTCAACCTCACAATAGCGGGAAACCTTTTGTCTATATTTGTGTTTCTGTGTGCGCATGTACAAACAGTAGCGGCGTCGGCGCCGTGAGAATATAACCTAAGATCTCAGCTCCCCGTGAGGAGAAGGGGGGGGTGAAGATGATTTATGGCTCTCACTGAACTGCACCACATGGCCGCCAGAACTCCACACGCACACAAACACACTCACACAAAGACACACACACAGATAAAAAGGCTTTGCTCACACAAGGGTAAGGTTTAAGCCAAATGCACTTTTATAAACCTGGGATAACAAAAAGGCTGGAATACGCCCACAGTGGCAGGATCTTCCTTACAAGTACAACTGATTATTTAAGAGTTTGGGAAATTATGTTGATTCATTAAATATGTTCAGTGCATTCCTAATTTAGAAGGAAGTGATTTTTTTAAATGAAATGTCGTTAATAGTTTTGTCAAAGAAATGACAATTATTTAGACGGATTAAAGATGCAATGTTTGTTTGATCAATAATGAATCAGAAAATGAATTATACATAGTTGCAGAAATAGCAGACACCCACTGGTTTCAGTTTCTGAGATGTCATTTTCCGGGTTTTCTTAGTTTTCTATGATGGTTGATGAAAAAGTGTTTTACTATTTTTGCCGAATCTGTAAATTATTTGACAATGATTATCCTTCTTAACCGCAGCCTTGTGATGAAGGTAAAATATAGTTCAAAGAATCACACTATGACTGTAAATGTTCCAAAAAAAGGTCTACGTGCGTCGTTGCGTGTCCTTCACAGTCAAAGCCTCCAAAACAAAGAGAATCAGTGCTTTCTTTGACTTCTTCACCTATTTTTAAGCCGAGCAACAAAAGCGCTGTGCTGTTCAACAAACGCTCCTAATGGATTTTCCTTCAGGAGAACGTCTGAGGACATCACAGCAGTGGCGGAGTCCCAGCTCCTCCCACGTCCCTGAGTGCTGTCCCGGTGGAACATGAGGGGCCCGCTGCCGACCAAGATGGCAGGTTTAAATTTAGCATGACGAGGGCGAGCCGGGCGTCGAGGTCCACTTTACTGTACGTTCGAGCGGCTGACAGAGTCTGTTCACGTCCATCTCGGGCTGCTTGAAATCAGTCAGTCAGAACAAATAAAGTCTAAATGTCCTTACAGTTTGACGCCCACGCGCCCGAGACGAGTCTGTCGTTAGCGTCAGAGATGTAGGCGACCTGGGAAATAGCCTGCTTAAGTCTTACAGTTGGTTGTAGCGTAAATTAGGTGTATATGTATGGAAATGCTGCTTGTCTATATGCACAACCACACACCAATTAGCTTTGTCAAAAGTGACCAGTAATTCAACATACAGCCGCAGCACCATTTGACTTTTCAAGTGAAACTCAGTAAAAATACAGCACAAGTCAGTTTTGTCACCAGGGTGGTTTCTTTGTTAAATTATGGTCCATTTAAAGAAACCATTACTATTATATATTAAGCATAAATTTACCAATAATCTTTCGGTCTTTTTTTTTTCAAGATAACAAGAGAAAAATTCCTGTCATTCCAGTTTATTTCAATCTGTTTACTATAAAAATAATGACCTGAAATGAGCTTTGAGGTAAATGTGGCAGTGAAGATTGGAGCTGCTTTCAAATAAGACGTTTCTAGTTTCTGTGCTAAGCTTCACAGCCGCTGGCTGGAGCTTCATAATGGGCCGACCGACAGGAGAGTGGTATCGATCTGCTCATCAAACTCTCAGCTGTGAAGCAGGCAAAGGAATTTCCTCCATCGTCAAACTGTGCGTTAAAGACGTGTGGAAATCTTAGCGGCAGACAGAATAGGCGGAAAATGGAGCTCATTTCTAGAGATTCCATGAAACCCGTTGGCTTCCATTGACATGCGGCCGCTGTAATGGCAGACGTCTTCAATTGTCCCAACAAAATAAGACCCGGGACTCCGCTGTGGACAGAGGAGCTTTCTGCGGTGTGGCGCGAGTCCATCTACAAAGTAAAGAGTAGCTACGGCTGATACGTTTCCGCACCTTCCCGAGGGGCTCCAAAGGCCTCATGGGTAATAGCCGGGGACAGTTCAGCTTCTGAGACACAATTGTGACACTGTTTGAGTGACCTTTGGCTTCACTGGCGTGTCAAACTCACCTTCAGCGGCAGCAAATGTTCAGCAACAGAGGTCAAAATGTGAAATGACAAACAGACACCGAACCAGCGGGAACCTGAAACTCAACCACTAAACTCATTATCAGCCCATTAGCGAGCGTCCTTCGTCTCTTTGATAAATCATACCCGTTATTTTGTTATCTAATTGTGAAGGCAAACCTTTTTAAAAGCAGACCTTTTGCAGCGCGGCCCAATTGCTCGGTCTGCCCGTGCAGCAGCCTTTTACTGTCCGGCCATGTGGAGAACAGCCCAGTGCTGTCAGGGTTGATGTTGCCACTTTGCCGATCGTTTCTGTCTAACAGCTCGGAGGCTGAGCGCCTCTCCAAAGAGAGAATCCCTAATCAAATTCCCTTTTATTCCTGCCTCCTGGAGCTCCTCACCCAGAATCAGACTGCATTACAACACTGCATGCCCACATCCTCCTCGTCTGCCTTTTCCTCCCTTCTTCGCTCCATCCATCCCTCCCCTCTACAATCCATCCGCTGCAGCGTCTTTAGTCCAAATGAGAAAAGCAGAACTGTGGAGGAATTCCTGGCGCGCAGGTTAGTGTGATGCGCTGTGATGAAAGGACGCGGCGACAGAGGCCTATTAATAATGAAGCACGCGGGGCCCCGAAAATGCAGCACAGTGAGAGGAGGTGCAGGAGCCGTGCAGAAAGCCCAGGCACGGCGTTACAACTTACATTTCCAAAAAGCAATGCAACGAAAAAGGGGGGGGGGGCGAGACCATGGATGGGGAGGGAGAGAGAGCAAGAGAGAGAGGCGGGGGGGGGTTGGGGGAGGGGGGGAGGAACTCCACCCTCTCCGCGTTGGCTTATTACTTACTAGTACCGGAGGGAGAACCAGCGATTGTACCTGAAAGAGAATAAGAAGAGAGGACTTGTTTATTTATGTATTCAATTTGCCTAAAGACTCGAATGTGCCTCGTTCATCAGGCTCGGGTGGCGCAGAGAGCTTAAGAGCTGCTCTGCAAAATAACCGTTTGCTTTAGACCACCTCTCAATGTCCTGGAGTAAATGAATCGGGCCTCCCTAATTTCCCCCCGTTACTCCTCCCATTGCGACCTCATCATCATATATGGATGTTTTACGAGAGCCGTGGCACTTTGCAACGCTCGGATCAAAACGTTATGCCTTTCCCTGCGCGCTCACGGAGATTGTATTTATAGTTGGGTTAGCTCGCCATGCATAATGCAGTCCGTGGAGACCAAACTATTTCGTGAGCCGTGGCCATTTTGTGAACGATTTCAACCGAGCAAGTTTTAATTTTTAAATCCCACTAATGGGATTTGGGAGCGTAAAAGGATGATGACGGGCTCCGAAGTTGTGTGTCAGCATTAGAACAGGTTTGGAAGCAACAGCGTGAGAAAGGTTGACAAATAGAGCCATTCTTTGGTGTGCGTGCATGTGTGTGTGTGTGTGTGTGTGTGTGTGTGTGTGTGTGTGTGTGTGTGTGTGCAGGTACAGGTGTACGTGACTGCATCTGCCTGTGTTTCTCTTTACATGCGACTGTGGCTATTTGTTTGAAAGGAGGAAACTAGGGAGGGGCTGTCCTAGATTATTATTTTATCACAGCTAGCTACTGTCGCCTGCCTCACTCTCCAAGAAGATTTTCCCCCCTACGCACTCCCACGTCGTCACGCGGCTCTGATCTTTTCTCTGCATCGAGGAGACGACAACTCGGTCTCTCCACCGACTTCTCTCCTACTCGTACCCGTGATCCTGCCTCTCTCAATGAGGACCTCAGTAATGACGAAACCCATAAATCCATCAATCAAGTATGTGCGAATTCACCGCGTGTATATTTACTTTGAAACATATCTTATGATCCATCAACTCTGATTAGAAAAAAGGAAATGCATTGCTTCCTGTGCAATGGAAGCAATGCAGTGGCAAAAATGTGAGTAAAATAATACATCAAAAAGATTTTCCATTGTAATAATCTAAGTACAATTCATTCCCTTTTCGGTATTACTGACCTACTATCAACCTAATGGGACACAAAGCTAGCATCGGCCCCAGCATAAGCAAAGGCATTAGCAGAGCTAAACTACCAGCAATAACCAGTGGAGCATAAAGGCGACACAAAACGGCTCTGCTGTAAACATGGCCACTAGCGAACCAAGCTTTTCTCCATAGCTCATAAAGTGAATTTTTATTATCTGTTCAAAAGGTGTAAAGAAAACAATTCACGTTTTACACAAGGTTATGTGCTCGACTTTTTCAATGAAATATGATGTGTCACTTGATGAGCTTCAGAGGTGCTCGCTAGACAGATTCACGCTTCTTCCCTGTGTTTCCAGTCTTTGAGTTAACAATTAATAAATCAGCATTCTATATATATTTATAACGCAGTAAGGTGGGCTGACAAACACCCAAACGGAAGGCAAGAGTCAGCAGAACTGTGTCTAACCGCGCCGATCGCCAGACGTACAGGAGTTGGGGGTTCCGTTGGGCGACGGCAGGTAGGAGCCGGCCTTCCAGGACTTGGCTTTGAAGCCCTTCTTGCAGCGCTGGCAGTCCTGGCCCGTGGTGTTGTGTTCACACTGGCACTGGAGGTTCCCGTCCTGCAGCAGGCACTGGGCGGCATGGAGGTTACACTTGCACCTTTTTAAAAAAAAGAGAGCAGAGGAGAGTACGCGCACAAATGAGATGACACCGGCGGAAAGTTGTAATCACACGCTGGTTGTCTAATTAAAACTAGAGTATTTTTAAACCAAGGAGACAGAAAACCCAAGTGGAATATTGTGACACGGGTCTTATGCAGAAGTGGGAAGGGAGTCTATTGTTGGTGAATTACATAACGAGATTAAGATCATAGGATTAAGTACGGTTATACATAGTTTGTTCACTGAGCAGACACGGTAAATGACACAGCGCACCTGACAGAGCGTTAAAAAGACACGTGTGTGTGTGTGTGTGTGTGTGTGTGTGTGTGTGTGTGTGTGTGTGTGTGTGTGTGTACTGTACGGTGAAGCATCAAAAAGGGAAACGGGGAGCAGGATGTTAAGAAAAGAAAATAATACACTTTTAAAAAGTTGAATGCAAAAAGACGACCGTTTCGGAGCAAATGGTTGTTCGCCATGACTGTCCGTAAAATTAAAACATCTGAGTGTGCACGTGTGAACGTAACTAACGTGTGCACGGCGGCGACCTCCGCAGAGGGCAAGGCCCAGGTGGGCTGATCCAAAGGCGGAAGCTCGGCAGGGAAGGAAATGAGGATCTTAAGGACATTCGGCGGCTTCGACTTCAAATTACAGCCTTTTCCAGATGAGCGACTGGACTCCAATCCAGTTTGTTCCACAGGAGTGAACAGCTATCCGTCTGCATCAAATATTCAAAGAATGGCCCCTGTATTCTGGCAGGATGACTGCTTCAATCTTCCTTCCTCACACTAATCTGCGTTTTCTCATCAGCTTTTTTTTTTTTTTTTTTTTTTAAAGGGGGGGGGGTTTATGCTGTCGGCCTACCAACTTTACATACAGAATAACGACGGCGGAAACTTAGAAAAAGGCCCAGTAAACTTTGCCAGCGAAGAAATGGAAGCGGTCGATCATGGCGGTCCGTCTCACATTGTTGCCCGCAGTGCTATAAATTACCCAGGATTCTCTCTGATCACCTGGGCGAGCTGACAGGACGCGCCAGAAGAAAATCCATCCGCGGACGAGGCCTTGTTTCCTCCATGCCTTCTGAAGGACACAAGCTGTCCACTTAGCGAGGAGGGAAATTGAAACATCTTTTTTTCATGGAGGAAATAGTGAGCGAGCGAGTGTGTGTGAAACGGGACAGGTGTGCGCTTGTGTGTGCGCGCGCGCGTGTGTGTGTGTGTGTGTGTGTGTGTGCGTTTCTGCCTCCCGTGATTGTGATGCATTTAACCGGGAGCGGCGATGACAGGCAGCAGATCTGAGGGGCAGAGGCGCTGTGACTAATGTCTGGGTTCGGTGACTGACAGCGCCGAACATATCACCGCTTCTCATCTGCCGCACCTCCGGTGATAAATCTCATCTGTCTCATCTTAAAAGTGGAGGCGCCGCCGCCGCCGCCGCCGCCGATTGCGGGATCTGGAAGTTGCAGCTTAAGAATCGATACTGGGGAACAAAGTGATTTTCCTGCGGGCCCCACGGAGAGGCCTTCCCTCCTGTCAGTTAGCTCGACAGTCGCCATGTAGAGGGGGGGGGGCGGAAGCTTGCATGCAATGCCACCGGGGACCTGACGTTATCTTTATCCTCCGCTATTTCATCACATCACGAACGAAAAGGTTGAAACTTTGTGGCCTCTGCATCCCCTTGACCTGCTTTCCTGCCTCCTTCTCACGCGGCACAGCCGAGGAAGACCGGCAGCACTCCCAGCCCTGCACTCCTTCCGCATGAGCGGTTGCCACATTCCAACTTTCCGAGTGCCGCGTTCCCTTTGGCTCGCTCTGTTTCGGATGACAGGCTACACTTTTTTTAAACTTTTTTTTTCTTCTCCCGATCCCTCCCTCTTTGCTCCCACATACAAATAATGCATGGGCACGATCGTATGTTAATGTGCAAGATGTCTGCCTTCACTGCAAAGTCATCAAAGTGCGAGAAGTTAAGAGAGGACGGCTGGATCCATCACAAGCCACAAAGAGAGAGGAGAGATGAAATGGAGAAGGTGAGAGGGGGGGGGCAGGAGCGGAAGGAAATAAGTGATTCAAATGTATTCCAGTCTGCATTAGAAACCACACAGTTTAATTAGCTGGTGTTATTATGGATCAATTCCTCTCTTTATCAGTCTGTCGGAGACTTTATTTTTTTCCTGAGAAAAATAAGCGTATCAATTTTTTCTCAGCAAATGGGCTAAAACGGCTCATATTTAGGTTTACGGAACAAAGCCTCCAAAAAGAACAAAGCCTCCTCCTGCCATTCGATTCCCGTTTCCTTCAGAATTCAACGTTGATTTATTTCAACAGTGATCGTGTTTGTTAATGATCAGTAACCGACTCAACACAAGTGGTTTTTGTGCTTAAATGTTTGACCCTTTGGTCAAAAGGACCATAAGGTCAAAGATAAAAAAACAACCTTTTACTTTCAAAACTGGCAATGACATTCTGTCTTAAAACGCTAAGTAGCTGTTATCCTTAGATGGCGTTTACCAAAGATGAAAACTGATGTTGATATCGACTACGTAGTAAATAAGATACTTGCAATATATTTCCCGAAAGAGTGTTGTATTGTAACTACTTTCTGCTCATTTCGTAACGAGTTATTCCACTATGATGGACGGGAGTCAATATTTGTAGTTTTATGAGTGTTTTCTTCAACTACAGCAATCCAAGAAGATAAAAAAGTTAATAAAAAATAATGCTTTATTTTATGAACGGAATCTGAAAAATATCTCTAAAAATGTTGAACTGAAAGCCACTGCGGATCACTTACGTCTTGTTCTTGCGTTACAGTTTTCTGCTGCATGAGAAGCATTTGTGCGGTTGCGTTTAGGACAAAGAGAGAGAGCGAGATCTCCCCGTTTAGTGTTTCCGAAATCGTGACTCAAGACTGGATATGTGTCCATTTCCCAGTGCATTAAAACCAAAACCATTATCCTTCCCGATCAAAGGTTTTCTTTTCTGAAACCCAAAGCCAACCACGTGCTCTGGACTGCGCCCCCCTCGGCGCCCCCTCCCGGCGTCCATGTGGTGTGCGAAGATGAAAAACGTTGCCAGCGAAAAAAATAATAAGACGGCAAACATGTTTCCCCCCCCCGGAACATCCGAACCCTTCAGCCGGCCCTATTTAGCAGGAGACAGAATCGGTGCGTGTGCATTGTATGATCTGCATCTACGTTAACCAGCGACGCGTATGCATGAGCTAATGGACGGATCAGTTGCCAGCTTGTCTGCGCGTTCCTCAGTCCGTCCTCCCGGCAGTCTGTCTCTGTGAAGTAATGTCAGCCCTGTGTATTTAATGACGCGCCGACCGCCTGTTTTAGACGGCACAGACGCAGCAATTAGGAGAATAAATAATAAGAAAGATAAACAAACATCAAGGGGGAGCCGTGTGGTGGCGGAGCCTGAGAAAGCAGCTGGAAGCAGCAGTTAATGGGGCTTTATCTGTCTCTTTACTGGAGTCGATTCCTCCACATCTCTCCAGGGACGCTGCGATCACTCGCTCTTTCTTATATTCGGTTTTCTCTCCTCCCACTATTTACATTGTTCGAAACTATCGCTCTAAAACATCATCCATTGTAGGCGTTCCGCTCCTCGTGTCTTTCCTCATCGTTTTTTTTTTTTCTTCTTTCCCCGCCCGTCTGTCTATCTTCTGCGCGAGAAGCGCGTCGAGTAAATTGGGTTGTGTACGTCGGGGGGGGGGGGGGACGATGCTGGATGGAGGGGGGGGGGGCAGAAGAAGGGCAGTCAAAGCCCTGACAGGGCGCCGGCCTCCCCGACCACAGCGGTGAGACCCGGAGGAGGAGGGTCCGCATCCACGTGCTCTAACCTGTGATGACAGCCCCCCCCCCCCCTCCAACCCTTTCTCCTCCTCCTTCTCCCCCTTCTCCGCTCTGTGTTCGATCAGCCGTCACTGGGAAGGCCCGCTCGCTATTTGCAACAACCCCCCCCCCCCCCCGGCTCCTCAACCTGCTGGAGCCGTAGCAGAGGCCTAATGGGCGATGAGTGTCGGCGCTTTTGTCCGCGGCTTAACGTGTAAACCGGGGGGGGGGTGGGGGGGCGACTAATGACACGGAGGTCCGTGAGCAAATGCGGGGCGATGAATGGAAAAAAGCAGGAAATGAGAATACAACGAAACAGCTCTACACTTAGAAGGCTTTTTGAAGTGTGTGCTGTGTGATTTTTGTTGGACTGGGCATTTAGATCTTCCTCCACTCATAGATGTGTTTTTCTTATCGGGACTTCACTCGGATGTTTGACCTTCACTGTGCAGAAGGATGTACGTGCAGACTTACACGTCCATAAGCAAAGTTTTCCTTGTGTGCTCTCGGTAAATCTGTGTTCTGAGAAAAGGACTCAACATAGTAAACATGAGTTTATGGTCTCAATCACTAGTAAAATCCCACACACATTTAGTACATTACTATTTAAATAGACTACACAGCAGGGAACGCTTTAGGGCGTGGCTACCTTGTGATTGACAGCTGGCAGGTATCCATGTGCTCTTGTCTTACATTTTTCAACCATTTAGATCTAAAAATGTCTTATTCAGCATTTGGTTTTACCTATTTGAAAAGAAAAATATATAATTTAGATTGTGTTCTTTGGGGGGAGAATGAGTAGAAAGAGATCTGGAATGGACATCGTTCTTATTTTCTGATGGATTGTTGAATGTTATCTTTAAAAAAAAAAAATCTGTTGATGTTCATAGTTCCATTTGCGGAACCAAACATCCGTCCGTTGGCGAATCCAAGACGACTTTTACTTTTACTACGACTTTTACTAAGCGATGCCAGGAGGTGATATTTAAGTATGTCCATGTATTCCAATCTGATTGGAAAAAGGCGGCCTGAAGGGGAGCCGAGCCCCTCCAACATGGCGTCTCCCGAAGCTCCGCAACCGGCCGAGTGAAGCGGGCGGCGGGAGGAGGGTGAGGGTTGGGGGGGGGGGGGGGGAATGTTGCGCGAAGCTCGGCTCA